GTTTAAACATTGAGAGTGCGAATCTCGATCGTTACTCTGGATAAATTTAGAATGATACTTTCTCCACCTCCTTGATTCGTTTTAATTCTCTCCCTTTCTCTGAAATAAGTTTTTTTCCGACAAAGTTGTCTCACCAAGCATTTTTGCGCGTACTGGTCTGACTCGTTTAACGTTCCGATTTTCGAGACCGGCTTGTAAAAAAGTCCTTACTAATCAACTGGTATTTGTAAATGAGAAGCTTAAATATTTAAAGTGAAAGAAATATTTATCTTAAGGTATACTATATGTCTTAGAAAGGGGAAGGTGGAAGAAAAGCACTCTCATCCGGCGCGAGATCAGTTACTGCGACTTCATCGTTTTCGGAAATTTCCATTTTCGTCTGTACTCATGAGTACGGGAAAACGGTGTTTTCAAATAACCTCATTCTGGAGCGCGTTTTTGAAAAGTTGCATTTTCAGTAACTGTTTTCATCGGAGACGTGTGGACGAAGCCTCAGTGGCTGCCAGTTTTTTATCAAGTACTCTGCCACAAAATGTAGACAAATTTCTCATGCTCATATGCAAATAATAATTTTCATAGAAAGGTAGAGGGCTCATTGTCAGTGAGAGGAGTTCGCCACTAGGGGGTCTCAAGGGGAGGGGTGCGACAAACCACAATTGTTTCGCTTTTTTATGTCAAATTTCTTATCTTTAAATGTTTTAATGAATTAAAATATTCTATACATAGGATGTTATTCCGCAGGAGATTGTTGCGGCTAGGGTTTCTGCACATAACTTTTCCGCGAGCCGACCACTCCCTGCCAATTATCTTTTCTTTTCGAGTGGACAGAAAAAGTGCAAATTAAGGACAGTTTGATGTCAGTGTTTTTCAGTAATGTTTGATTTTGTGTATGTGTGTTCTAATATCCTAGTACCACGTGATCTCATGATCACCAGAGCCTTAAGATAAATTAAAACTAACCTAGTGATTTTGAGGAATATTTTCTGGAAAACTACAATAGATGACTGAATATTAAAGCATTTAAATGACTTTGATTTTAACAGTTTGCTTGAGAAATTGTTTTGTGTCCTCAAACTTAGAAGAATGAGGGCTACCAATTTTGTTATATAATTTTAGTAATTTCACGTTCTATTATGTTTTTTACTATCATCTTTTAAACCCACAGTAAAAACTGGACATGGACTGAACTTATTGTATACAAAACGGAAGTAACATATTTACGTTGTCCACTTACTGGAACGATACGCATACTTAATGCAACAGAGCACCCGTAACCATAACTTTTAAGTAGTCTAATTAATTGCACATTTTACGTAACCAGGCCCAGCCCCTTAAGTCTCAGGGGCAAGAGATGATTAAATGTCGAACCGGATAATAGAATTGTATAATAACTGAATAAAACTTGTCGTCCTCACCACACAGGTCTGGGTCACGAAAAACACTGCCGTCACAACGTTGAAGGATAAGCCAGTTCCTTTAGGCGACGTAAAGAACGTCGTGGATGAGATATACTTTGAAGATGGTTCTGCAAAGTCACGATGCCGAGGATGGCTGGTTCTACCGTCGCGGAAATATCTTCGAGCAGACATTTTGTTTCCTGGCTGCGAATTTGACTGTAGATTCTTTATTCGCGCAAGAAGGGGTACGTTTTTGAATAATTAATTGATGGTTTTACTCCAAACAATATTAAAAATCTTTTTCTCTTACGGGTCTCCTATAGCTCGATCGTAGAGCATTCATACAAGTAACCAGAAGGTCATGGGCTCTGTTCCTGTTGGGAGCGAAAACTCGGATTTCTCTTTACCGAGTCGCCGGTCTCACTAACTCACAAATCCCTTTCTGTTGTGCTTAGTGTCTAGACCTCTCCACGGCTGTAGTTGTATGTTTTGTTTTCCCAATGAAGGTGTCAGGGGAATTTGCCCCTCTGTCTCAGTCATAATTCATGCGTGCAAATATACGTGAATAAGACGAAATTTGAAAGAAACAGTTCTCGAGTATTATCACATGACCTGCATTGTGAAAACAATACCTACAAGCTAAAGAGGTCTATTCTTGTCAAGAATTCTTTTTGCGAATAATATATTATTCGTGATATGCTCAGGTGTACCTCATTTGGTCGAAGGTAAATAGCTTCAGCAAACTCAAACGTGGGCCCTCGGACTGGCATAAGAACAGGCGCTGTAAACATAATAGCCTGAGTAGCGGGCGTTTCAAGGGGAAAGGAAACGCGAAATTCGCCCGCGCGAGGAAGAAAGGAAGGGAATGCCTGCAAGAACACAATTGTTCGACCTGTTTTTTAAGCCCAGATTCTGTGCGTAAAAAAACGCCATTGATTAGAATTAATCATGCGTTAATCACAGACGTCATACCTCGATCGGATTGGTAAAAGTCATTACCAGGCTAAGCACATGACAAGCCTGTTGAAACACAGACATTTAATACGTGAAACTGATCATGCATCGCACTTCTGTACGCAAGTTAAGAGCTCTTTGACCTGTCTTTGGGGCTGTTGCTAGGGAAAATCCCAGCCGTATAGCTTAGACTCCTTTTGTCATGCGTTGGTCATTTTATTGCACCGTACTTGAAAGTGATATACGAATGTAAATCTGACGTCACTGGACCACGCCCATGATCTCCAACCTCGTTCCCAGGGTTCTCTCTCTTTCCTTGAGAGAGAACCCTGGTTGCGGCTGGTCATGTGTGTCAATAAACTCAGGGTAAGGCTAATTTGCTATTTTTATCTTTGGTTCTTGGAGCAACTGAATATGAGCTAAAACTGGAGGCCGTAAAATTTACAGGTACATGCTATCTGTTTTGGAAAGGTAAATAAAGGAGTAAGGTTTCTTGTGAGGATAGTTCTGAAAATTTTGAATTCGACCCGTTTGATTTTCAAACTGTTTCGTGTTGTGTGAACAAGAAGGTACTCACTTGACAACACATGGACACTAGTCTACTTTATAAAGTCGTATTTTAATGACCAGTACTGACAAATATAACCCTTCATTGCACTTTCATCACATAGATGAAATATTAAGACGGAATCTACTAGGAAATTGAGTAATTTTAATACTCAGTGGACAGAAACCTTGTACCAGAATAATTTAAAGCATACTGCATTCTTTTTTACATTTTTCAAGGGCTAAAGATGTAATTAGTCATCTGTGATAACACCAAAGAAAATTTGTTATGGGACTCGGAGAAAATGAATGCCAAATTTCACAAGAATTGTGAAAACACAGGTAAAATTCTGAAAATTTCATGTGTAAGATGTCATTTTGTGAAATTTGACATTCGTTTTCTCAGGCTCCCATAAGAAATTTTCTTTGGTGTTATTACAGATGATTTATTACATCTTAAGCCCTAGAAAAATGTAAAAAGAATGCAGTATTCTTAAAATTATCCTGGTACAAGGCTTTTGTCCACTGAATATTAAAATTACTCAATTTCCTGAATAATGGGTTCCGTCTTAAGGTGACTCGACCCAGTTTTTTGGGGGGGTACCATCCTACTTTGAAGCTCTCTGGTATCCCCACCTTTACTTTTGTCGTAAGTCTAACACATAGAATGGATAACATATAGATCAATCTACAATATAACATAAAATTTTTGGCGATCGGAGTAAATGTCACGTGGTTATAATGCCACGCCCCTTTGAGGTCTGAGTCGAAAATCTGCTGTTGCCGGCACTTTTTCGTGAAAATCTCTCGGCTACACATAGTGCGCATTAGTGCCTTGCGCTGAACAGAGTTTCACCAAAATCGCAAAGACCCAATTCGAGAAATTCAGCGGTTTCCAAATTTAGGTCATAATTTATGCGAAAATGATAAGCAAACTTTATACGGATTATATCTAACAAACTATAAGATTCATCTCTGTATTTTGGGCATCCTTATAACAGATGGGTCCTTGCAAGTCAGCAAAACGCTTTAGGGCCTTGCAGATGCGCGCGATTTCGAGCAAAGCAAACATATAGAAATTATAGTTTTCGCTATTTGTTGACGTTTGTCAGCGTTTAAGAGTCCTTCTCATGAAAAAAGCATTTTCTTAAAAATTCGTAGTTTTTTTTCCTTCAAATTTTTTCAGGGCCACAATTGATTAACGAACTACCCAGACTCTGAATTTCATGGTCATTGAAAAACTGTGACATTACCTTCTATAACCCCAAACTTGAGTAAACATTGAAGATTTGTAACGTTTTGGCTGAGTTTGTGCTTTGGGAGTTGTCTATTGTTTCTAGTCTGTCATTATACAGCATTCTTGTTCAGCACGCGTGCAATGACCACGCTTGGCTGACTTCCGAATGCTCATCGAGATATGATAATTTAGTATAAGAAAATAGAAGGCATTCCCGTCACGAGTTGGTTTAATTATTGGCGTGCATTAAACCTATGAAAAAATGATATTTTTTTAATAGTAAGTAGATTTAGTGTGTAGCACTTCTTGATTTTTAAAAATTGTGAGTTAAACCTCTATGTATCAAGCGATGGCCTGTCTCACTCTACCAAAATTACCGAGAACAACTTCTATCGCGCGCGCTGACTTCAAATAAGATTGCGCGTTGTCACTGTTATGAATGAAGATGTCAGGGCATTAAAAGAAAAGCTAAGCACACGAAAGAGCGCATCAAGAAGGACTCTATCTTAGTTTGTCAAAAAATTCTTTACTTAAGCCAAAACATGTCAATGAATGTAATAATCTGCTTTTAGTTTAATTGGGAACCTTAATTATTCAGAATCCACCTTAAAAATCGCCGAAATGTGAGGATGTTTAGAAAATCGTATTGCAAACAATACTAGTTTAGACCCCAGACCTCTCCCGTCTCTGCACACCCTAACCCTAACCCGTGAACGGCCGAGCTCGGTACTAATTTGAAACCAGTTCATTCCATAAAATTGTGAAATATGAATCAAAGGTAATTTATTTTGCTTCTTCATGTTCTCTTTTAAATAATTAAACTGAGCAAAGCAAGAGACCGAATCAGAAATACTACTTAGCTAAATTAATAGCAGTGCTGTTGACACGATTGTTAGAAAAGCTTGAACCAAGAGACGATAAAGGGGACAGAGAAGGCATCCCCCATACACACCCTTTTCCATAGGTAATTCGTCTCGAGTTAGTTTTAGAATCGGGGTAAAGTTATCTCGCGCGCTGCGTGGATGTTTCGTGGACGTTTCACGTGACTAAACGCCGTGCAAGCATGTCGGGCGAAAGGCAGTGAAAGCGTCAAGAGATCGAGAGCATTCCTGAATATTGACGCGAAATGAGTCGGCGCTCACCAGAGAAAAGGGAATCGCTAGAATCTTCGACAACCCGTGAAATCAGTTTAACTCGAAGTTGTCGTAACCTCAGTGCTTTAATAAAATGAGAAATTTGGCCGGTCTATTGAAACCGGTCGCGATCGTTTGTACAAAGCAAATAGGACGCCAAGTGTTATTTTTGTTGAATAATCAAAGACTGATAAAAGAATGAATATCAAACCAGAAATTGCTCTCTTCAAACTGTGAATTATAAATGATCCTGAGAGAATATTCAGTGTGTTAAGGATTTCCCTGCTGTACTGTTAGCTCTATGATATATACAAGAGAGGAAGGACGATTCTTTTTTAATTTCCGTTTCGCTGACACAGCTTTAGCAGAAATCTCTCTGTAGTCGTTTTCGTCGACAAAACGAATAGCAATATCGCTCTCGCGTCTTCCGCCATTTTGTTCTGCGTCAATTCGTGAAGGACGCGTGGCTCTGAGCGTGGGTCATCCACGCGAAACACATTCGCGCTATGTGATTGGCTGTTGTCTAATCCCCCTTGGGATCTGTGGTCTTAAAAATAACTCGAGACGAATTACCTATGGAATAGGGGGTGTATGGGGGATGCCTTCTCTGTCCCCTTTATCCTCTCTTGCTTGAACTTAATATTTCATCTGTGTGATGGATACGATCGAAGTACTTCTTTAAATCGTAATGAAGGGCACTATTTGTATTACTAGTCATTAAAATTCGACTTTATTATATACTTTATATTGACTTTGTCAAGTGAGTTCCTTCTTATTTACACTGCACAATATCAAGCGGGTCGAATTCAAAATTTTCAGAGCGATCCTCACAAAAAATTGTCGTGAAAGAACAATAATAAACAAACCCAGTAGCTCCTTTATTTACCTTTCCAAAACAAATGGCAAGTGCCTGAATACTGCCTCGAGTTTAAGCTCATATGCAGTTGCTCCATGGACCAAAAATTAAGGTAGTACATTAGCCCTAACCTGGTGAGGAGTTCATTGTCACCAGCTGCAACCAGGGTTCTTGCTCGAGCCAAGAGAGAGAACTCTGGAAACGAGGTTGGATGCTATTGTGACGTTTCAAGATGGCGCAGATTTGGAACCGACAACCTCTTTTCTCGTTTTCATGCGCTTAGGAACATAAACAGGCCGCCGACGAAATCACAGAACACCCAACCACTAAAATAGGGAGCGTCTCGTTCGTCGACGCAAAAATGGTAGATAACAAGGAAAAAAGGAAAACGTAAATGAAATGTTTACAGTGACATGATTTCTCTTTCAAAAAGGGCTTTTTTTTAACGAAACCCTAACCCTAACCCTAAATACCTGAAAAGTCTCTAACAACCCTGTTTCGCCAGTTCTAATTCTGAACTGAGCGAGTAGTTGGTGCCGACGAAGAAACTTATATAGTCCTGAATTTCACAACACGATGCCATGCGGCAGCCATTATTTCAAAACTGGAGATTATTTACCAAGGATTAAGAATGGTTTCCTTCCAGTGCCCTCGAAAACTTAAATAGATATATTGTACGTGTAATGCTGCGAGCAGATGTTGGGCAGTAAAACAATATCTGAAAAGGATAAACTGACGTACACATTTTGCTAATTACAGACCCTTTTATTGGTTCAATTAATAGTTGTGAGATAAAAGACTACAAGGAGTCTTAAAATCACGAGGTCTCTGTGATTTAGGTCTTTATTAGCCAGTTTACATTCATACGATAATAATTTGAAACTGCTGGGGCTAGGTTATTTTCTAAACACCACACTTCAAATTTCTGGTGTCGGCTTTTCAGTACCAGGTCTAGATCGCACAAAATTCGGCTTTTATCTATTTCAAACTTATTTGTTTATTGTTGTCCTAGTGATATCGATTTTACTTAAAACTGCATTTTGACAAACTTCAATCCAAAGTCAGTCAGTGCTGAAAATGTTATAGCGATCGGACAAGGATAAATTCACTTTAAAGGCGATTGAAAAATATCGGTTTGGTCTCCGTATATCTGGTATGATAACGCCGGTCGGTACTGGCGCGGTAATTCCCCCTCTCCCTTTCCCTTTAAAGGCTCACCACGCAGAATATAAAAATAACCGCAATAATAAACTTGCAATTACCGACCGTTAGAAAACACCATGATGTCTTTTTCTAAAGAATAGTCTTGCGGAGAAGAGTCTATATGGCTCACAGAACAATGTAGACTTTCAAAAAAGTCTTTCGTCGGATTTCAAATGGCGCGGGACGAAGGACTTTTCATACATGATTGGCGCCAATTTTACCGACCCAAAAACGGGTCGGTGCGCTTGGACCAATCAGAGTAGCCCCCAAGGACCCTTGGGGATAAAGCTGCCACCCACAAGTACTAAGCGCATTGAAACGTGACTTGCGGTTCAAATTCCAACATGGGCTCGAATGTGAGGTGGAAGGTGTTGACAGGCCAAACACTACTCATAAGCTCGTGATAGTGTGATACGTGACCTTATAGTTTTGTTCTAACGAGGATATCTCCCAGCGATTTTGCTCTTTTATATGAGATGATGGGGTGCTCGTTGTATGTTTCTCTCAGTAGGGGTTGATCTGGAATTAAGTGCCATTTGCTCATTAAAATGTTTTTAGGGTTCTGCAAAGCGGGGTGGTACGTGGTAACGAAAGCCGGGCAGAATTTTCTTTCGCACTTCATTGTTCTTTTGTAAAACTGACTTCCGTTCGGAAAATTTAATCTCAGAGGTGATTTTTTTTCTATGATATTGTGATGGTAACCTCTAGCGCGAAGGCTTTTTTTGAAGTTGTAGATGTTCTCATTTAAGGATTTAGCTGAGGAGTTAGTTCTCAGAAGTCTAAGGGCTTCGCCCTTTATGAGACCTTCTCTGACCCCGTGAGGATTACAGGAAGAGAAATGCGTGTATTGAAAAGTCTCTGTAGGTTTAAAATGTGTACGGATGTCAAGGATTCCTTGGTTGTGAAATCTCCTTTCCCAGTATTCACTCGAGATTGAAACAAGTTTTTGTTTTTTCCCGACCGCCTGAGGTCGTCAACTTTCGCCTAAAATCATTGTTAGAGACAACTTTCGCACAAAGAAAACAAATTTGCTCCTTCGATGATGGAGATACACACACACGTTCAATAGATCTACTCGGAGTGGAATCAGTATATTCCGCCATTGAAGTCAAGGACTCGCAAATGAAACCTGAAACCCCGAATGCGAGTCACGCCACTCCCTATTCTTGGCGCGAAATGCAAATGAAAACCCTTCAAGCGAGACAAGTCGACCTCTCGCGACTTCGTCGCTGGCGGTCGGCCGCTTCGCGGCCAAAAAAGGCTCGCTCCGCTCGCCAAGAGGTCGACTTGTAGTAAGTCTAAGAACAATGTAATATTATTGTTCTTGAATAACGTTCCTATGCTCAACAATATTTTTTCCTAGTAATATGACAAGAAAATAATTTTATAAAATTCACCGTATTTACGTATATTTCTTTAATACAATATTCTTTCAAGGGCAGGCATTGATTCATGTAGGTTTGAATGTTTTAAAAAACTTTACCAAGATGTAGCCTTACCGTAATATTGTATTTCACCTAAAACACCTAAAAACTGGAAACACCTTTAGGCCCCGTATCCGGATATTTTCAATCCGCAACTTTTTCATTCCAGATTCAGATTCAGATTCAGATTCCACGTCCACACGTATCCAACACTTATCGGCAATCTCTCTACTACCCGGAACTCCTCTTGGAAAATTGGTATCAGATTCATGCGTCCTAAAGCGCGCGAAATTTGCATCTTGCTCAGAGAACTGGGCCGAGTTGTTCAAAGCTGGGTTAAGATAACCGAGGGTTAGTGCGAGATTTGAATTCAGATTTGAAAGCTTAAAAAGCATTTCAGTTTTAATTCTTTGTTGTCCAAAAGTTGATGATTGGAAGCTCTAAAAATAACAGAGAAAATTATCGGAGAAAATGCTTTTCAACTCAAGAAACTTAAAGAAACCCGGGTTAAGCACTAATCGGCCTTTGAACAACTGGGCCCTGGGCTCGATCTTGTTACGTCGCCGGATAAAAAAAATATCCGGATTTTGCATCCACACGATTCTGGATTCATAGCGTATTCAAAAATTTCCACTCTGGAGAGCGGATTCAAAAAGTTGCGGACTCGTATTGTGGATTCACAAGATACGTGTGGACAGAAGCTGTATCCGGAAAGAAAAAGTTGCGGATTCAAAAATATCCGGATATTTGTGGACGGGGCATCAAAAACATGGTTTGATAAGAGATAAAGTTTGTTAGGATAAAATTCACTTTCCCAAATGACCTAAATCTCTGGAGGTGAAACCATCAACCTGAGAGTTCCGAATCACAAGGTTTCCATTAAAGGTACGTTAACGTGGTAGAAAAACAACAGAGCCACATTTGAATGCGATTTCGTAAACATTTTGCCCTTTTCCTGTTTGTTGTACAGATATAGTGAAGTTTATCAATCGATCAGCTTGGTCATGGCAACATAAGAGCCTATCAATAATACTTTGCTAGAAGCCATTTCATCGTGTAAAATTTTAAAAAGTAAAGGTCTCACCCTTGCAACAGCCGAAAGGATAGGAATATTCAAATTTTCCATCATTGCCACGCATCAAGACGCCATTATATTCAGTACCTTGGGCACTAACATTAAACTGACTTTGAACGAAAAAAAAACGCACACAATTGCCTTATCTTAAATAGGCCGTACTAGGGCTCTTGTGACACAGATGTTCGTAGAAAAATACAACTTTGCAGTGAAATGTGTACATTGTAATAATCAGTATAATAATACGTCTTATTTCAGACTGCGCTCTGGACAAAAACTATGCACCAAAAGGAGAAGAGAGGCGCATTTTATCAAGATATTTGTCTAAGCTGACCTTGTCGGGTGAAAATGGCATTGGAATTTGTCTCCCAGAAGAGGAAATACCAGATGGGTTTCATCTGAATTTTAAGCGCTGTTCTAAACGGTCTTTTTATGAGATCAGTCAAGGATTTAAAGTACTTCTTTCGAAAGAAACTTCCTGGAGTAGCGACGAGAAATTTGAAAAGGCAACGGAATCGGTATGAACTTAAGAATCTGTATCAAACATGGAAATTCTGTTGACTTCCTTTGTTGTTCAGTAAAGTTTTGATGCTTAGGTACTGCTAACTGCACTGGTGCACCAGTTACTCGGGGGTTTTTTTGAGGTTGAATCTCAGTAGTGTGAAGTGGAATAGATTAAAGCCAATGCGTTATGAATAGATATCTAATTAAGATAAAGGCACGTTTTATTTAGTTCTAATTGCTGTTAGATTGATGACAATGTCCTTATTTGGTCATGATGATGTCATTGCTTATTTGCATTTTTTTTTAGTGTTAGGGTCGTGCCCTTATCCAGTCTTGGTGATGTCTTGCTTGATTGGTGAAATCACTTTTGACAAAGCAAATAAGCGCCAACCTGTATGTCTTAAAATCATTGAACCGTAACATGATTATTAACTTCTGTTTCCTGCTGCTTCTCTTGTCAATAATTTGTCTTCAACTAAGGGCCTGACTACGTTAGCCGGGCCAGCCTGGTTTGCAGCTTTGCCCAGATATCGGCGGTGGTAAAGCATCTGCACTGTCCTACTGCCCACCTCTGAAAAAGAAACGCTTTCCTTGAAAGACTTTAGTCCACCCATATTTTGATTATTTCTCGCGTTTTGGGGGATAACTGTGGGGACGTTCTAACACAAAAACTCCAGACTCCAGTCACGTGCTGCAAGAGTGAATGCTAGTTCAAGTTATGAAGTTCATGTGGCTGATGTTCTTCAAAAACTCTGCTGGGTAACGTTTGAATAAAGATACAAAATAACAAAATAATGCCATTGATCAAAAAGCATCAGGCATCATCGTGGCATGAGACATCATCGTGACCAAATAAGGACATGATCTATACACGTTTACGTCATCAATCTAAAAACAACTCAAAACCTGTCGAACTGGTTATACCAGAGACAATAGAACATAAAATAGAACATGACATAATCTCAATGAGCAACCTCGTTCCCAATGTTCTCTCTCTTACTTCGAGAAAGAACCCTGGTCGCGGCTGGTCACATGAACCCCTAATATCTGAGTGCAAACGAAGATTTACCTCATGGGAGGGGTAGTAAAGTATAGAATTGTCGCTGTTGCGGTGAGAAAGACACAAAATACCCTAGGGAGATTTCAAGCTAGAGATTTTAGAGAGGATTAGTTTGAAGTATGTAGGTCGTAAGAACAAATTTATAGCCAAGGTTTTCAATATCATACACATGCTTTCAACCTGAAAATGGTTGTAATTGTTGTTGACTTGGAGAAAGTAAGTTTTACGTTGAAAATTTTTCCATTCTTCTTGGCCGCGGCATGAAGCGAGGGTTCCCGATTGATTCGGAACAGCAAACTTAAGCAAAAAGCCGTCAGCTTAATAGGTTTCGAAATCGTATTATGAGATGAAGAGGTATACAAATCAGTTTTGCATCTCCAGAGATTAAAAGACTTTCACTTATCAAGAATTTGTAAAACAGCTAGTTACAGGAAAGCAAACGCCGAGTTCTCAAGCAAACCAGTCAGTGCACTCTGACAACGGTCGTGAACGGCCTGCCTCAGTACCGAACTGAAACCAGCCTTCAGTCTCTAAAAACTATGAAATAGGTATCGAAGGTAATTTATTCTGCTTCTTCATATTGTCTTTGAAATGATGAACCTGAGCAAAGCAAGAGACCGAATCAGAAATTCTACTTAGCTAAATTAATAGCAGTGTTGTTGACAGGATTTTTAGAAAAGCTTGAGCTTAATATTTCATCTGTGTGATGTATACGATCGAAGCACTTTTTCAAAGCGTAATGAAGGGTACTATTTGTAATATATAGATTTAGCCAGCGCTAAAAGCGAAGCTCTCGATAATTATTATAGTTTGCTCAAACAAAATATAACATCGTGTAATGCTAAGCGGCGAAGGCAACGAGAACGGTGAAAAAACAGATATAGGTCTAATTAGCAAAAAAGCAACTTTGCACGTGCAGCGTACTTTGTTTGTACATTTCTTTGCCGTTGTTTTGGACGACTGCAACGTGAAACCTCCGGAAACTTCCTAGTTACACGTTTTATGGAGGAAATGTCGGACGTGTTCTTGTTCACTTTTTTTTCACTGTCGCTCATTTTCACCCTGGTGGCCGCTAGCATCTCGTCGCTGCAAAATTTCATGTTTTTCCTACAACAAAAAATGTCTCCTTTTGTTTTTTTTCTCTCTCTCTCGCTCTAGCTCCTTTTCTCGTTGAACTTCGCTGGCCTGTCGACCTGCTTTCTCTTTTTCTCTGTCTTTCTCTTTCTCTATATCCCAAATTTGTGGACATGACAATTCTAAGCTTAATACTTTAAACAATACGGATACAGAAACATTTTCCGCTTTCCGTTTTCGTCTTTATTGACTCTTTGGCATTGTCTCTTTGGCTTCGCCCCGCGCACGAGCTCCGCTATTACTGGTCATTAAAATACAACTTGATAAAGTTAACTATGTGTGTGTTGTCAAGTGAGTACCTTCTTATTCACACTACACAAACAGGATGAAAATCAAGCGGGCCGTCGAATTCGAAATTTTAGAGCGGTCCTCACAAAAATTTGTCTTGAAAGAACAATAATAAACAAACCTACAATCTTGGACAAAATAAATGGAAAACCTAGACCCCCCCCCCCCCCCCCAAATCAAGGATGGAAAAATGGCGCGTTTTTGCCCTTCGCGCGGCTTCATCCTTGATTTGGGGGGGATGGGGGTTTGCTGTTCCATTTTATTTTGTCCAAGATTGTAGCTCCCTTATTTACCTTTTCAAAACAAATAGCATGTGCCTGAATACATGTTACTGCCTCGAATCTTACCTCATATTCAGTTGCTCCATCGACCAAAGAGAAAGATAATACATTAACCCTACTCTGCTGAGGAGTTCATTGTCATAGTCACATAAACAGCTGCAACCAAGGTTCTTTCTCGAAGCAAGAGAGAGAACCCTGGGAACGAGGTTGCTTAATGAGCAGTCTATTCGTGACGTCATCGGCGTTCATGTATTCCATTTCACCAAGAGCCATATGTTGCTCTTGATTTTACACAAAAGAGAGTCCATTTCAAAAGACCGCAGAAAGTGGTGCACGCTAAAGGAATTCATATCTGACAGGATTGATTTGGAACAGCAACACAGCCTCTTTGACGTCATGTGCTAAAGACTTAGCATTAACCTTTAATACTATATTTGCTTCGTTCGTAGATTTCTTCAAAGGTCAGAAAACGCTAGAGAGAACAAAAAGACAAGACAAGCATTTTAATATTTATACACTTTTAATTGTTGATTCTTTTGGGTGTTGCATTATTGTTTTCAGTTATGCGTTCTCGTTTTCTTTAATTTGTGCACCTCACTGCGTACAAAACTGCTTGTCGCAATGTCACGCCAGGTCGTTTCTAGCTTGCGTCGCAGACGCTTGAACGTAATATGCAAGAAAGAACGGGGCGCGCGATGGAGACACGCTTATTACTTCCAAGCGCCTGCCACGTAGGCTAGGTCGAGCGCACATTTTTTCCGACAACCTTTCTCGAAAAAGCTGTAAAGCTGATTCGATAAAGGTTGCTTTGGGCATTGGGAGTTGCGCATTGGGAAGCTATTGTCTGGTGGTCACTTAATTAAATCATTGCATTGTTCCATATGCCCAATTACCAAAGCAACCTTTTTTGATTTAGCTGTATGTAACAGGACTACATGTTCTCCAATTTGGAAATGATTTGATGAAAAAAATTCCGAGGACATACGGCCTCATCCAATTCGGTTCTCAGAGAAATTTTTTTTAATTCACTTATTACCAAATTGGCCAAGCATGTAGTCCTCTCACTTATTAATTATATAGCTGGTTAGTTAATCCAGATTTGTTTATAGTCAAAGAGTGTCACAGAAATAATGGTGCACTCTCGATTCCAGGGGCACCCAACGGGAAATTTTGAGAAAAAGACCTAAATACAACAACAAAGCGTGAATAAAGTTTTCTGAGACTATTTTAAGCATTTTGGGAGATTGCTGGAAAAAAAATTATCTGTTCCTCACTCCCAGCAAGACTGATGGAAGAGTTCCCAGCCAGCAACCTTACAACCTGCAACCTGACTTACTGGGAAGTTTCATAGGGCACAATTCAGATCTTGAGTGGTAAGCAGCCCATACAAGTAACCCGTAGCAGCTATTCTAGACTTCAAATCCCCTCCGACACCCTGAATTATCTTTTTCCCAGCAAAACTTTCCTTCCAAGGACTATTATTTCTTCCACATCTCCCAGCCAGCAAAAATTTGCATGAAGAACAGATATTTTGAGGAACAGATCCATTGGGTGCCCCTGTCGATTCGTTTGTAGTTGAAACAAAAACACAGCAAGATGTAAAAAAAAAAAGGTTATTTTAATTGTCTACAAACTTCTCATCAACAAGGCTCAAACCTAGTACTAGTCTTGCTCTATAGCTCACACTTTGGCATTTTGTGTACGAGTATAATAATTTTAAGCCTAAATTCTATAAAAAGTGCTCTCAGTGATACGGTGCTACAAATGAAAACCACCATTTCGTGTTTAAAAAAGACAAAACAATGCAAATACTTAATTTAAACACGAAAACTTTCAAAAAATAAGCATTCAATAGATTTTTTAGTGGTTAGCATTTCTATGGGGACAACCTATCAATTGTACGATCATATCTATTTTCTTAAAAGTCCACGTCCGACGTGTATAACTTGTTATATTGATCATTCTAAAGTGTTTTATCTTATTTCCTTTCTGACAGACTGACTTTCACCTTCACTGTAGAGAGTGGGACGAGTTGCTCGATTCCGAAGACTGGGAACCGGAAAAAATAATTAAGAAGCTCCCCGAGTTTTTCCAGTTTGTAAAAAAAGTTCAAGGGATTGTTATGGAAAAAAGAGGTAAGCGTGAGTCACATTTGACAATTTTTATGGTTAGTTATAACGTCGCCTAACACTAATCACGGTCGTGAACGTATTGTAATTCTCGGGTAATTACCCAAACTTGAGCAGATGCACATTCTATTTTTATGATATTTTTAATAAACCTTTATCATTGCAGTTAAGAAGACTTGTCTCTAAAACTAAATAAATAAATTTCCGTTATTTACCCTGGGCAGTATTTATAGCATTAATGTTAGTGGGGCCTAGCAAATGCCTTAAACAAATAATTTAAATCAAACTTAACAGGGTTAAGAATCCCAACTGGCCGGAGGCAAACCAGCTGGCTATTTATAAGCGTGGTCGCCAGAGAATTTGAACTCGGGACTATCCAGAACAAATCCAGCAAGCGGTCAGGGCGGGACTTTAATTCGGGGCTTCGCGATTACAAGTCCAGCGCTCTAACCGCGCGGCCACACTGCCTCCTTCTATTGAGGTTGATGATTTGTTGTTTTTTTGATGTCGGACGTTATTACTTCCAGTCACTTACGATGCATGTTTTTAAAGCCCCGTGCAAACGGACGCAACATTGTTGGATGTTACATGGTGCGTCCGTTTGCACACCTTGTTGCATGTTGTTGGATGTTGTTGCGTGTTGTTGCGCAAAGTTTGAAAACGGTCAAACTTTTCAGCCAACAACTCCCAACATTTCTTTTGTTGCGTGATCGCCGAAGCGTAGCGCAACAATGTTGGATCCGTTTGCACAGCTCTTCCAACATTGTTGGGGCCACGCACGCTCATTACGCATGGTTTACAAAGACTTATGGGTTGCATCCCTCCCACGATGCACTGCAGGTCCCAACATTGTTGGGAGTTGATGCATCCGTTTGCACACCACTGCCAACACGCTCGCAACAACTCCCAAGATTGTTGGCGTAGCAATGTTGGGAGTTGTTGCGTCCGTTTGCGCGCAGCCTAAGACCGTTTCTTATATTTGGAGGGGCTTGTACATGGAGGGGCTTATCTTCGGAATTTTACAGTATGTTTATGTGGGATCTACAATATCTCGAGGTGGAGATGGGTCGGAGGAAATAAGGAGAAGGCTTGCTATGGCAAAGAACAAGCTTTCGAAGTTGAAATTCTTGTGGAATGGTCAAGATCCTCAAGCAAAACAAAGAATTCTTAGAGCATGCGTTCTCCTCATAGCTGCATATGGCTGTGAGACGTGAATTAACGCTTTTGAAATGAAATGCTGCAGGAAAATTTTAAAAATATCATGGACGAAGCACGGAACAAATAAGTCAGTTAGGGAGGAACTGAAAGTGGATGATCAATGGTTACAGATCTTTATAAAGGAACAAAAGCTGAAATACTTTGACCATTTAAAAAGAAGTGAGAGCTTGGGAAAACCCATTTTGGAGGGAAAGATAGAGGGGAAAAGAGAAAGGAGAAGAACGAGAAGGCAGTGGGATAAGGACATACGGGATGTTTTTGCAACATTTCCTAACAGAAGTTGGAAGATTGGCAATTGACAGAAACTGTTTCCGCTGAAGTAAAACGAACCACTTTTCGGGACAAGTAATTTTAATGCTCGCTTATTCTTAACACGAAGCAGATTCATGCTATTCTTTGAAAGGTACTCTTTAGTTTTAGATGCACTTTTAATTGCTCCAAACCTTGCTCTGAAGTCTAATGACTTGCTCCTCGGCTTTTTTGGAATATCCTTTAACAGTTTTGGCTGAAACGTCTGCTTCATATCTTTAAATGTCTCATCGGCTTTTACGACTGTGCGTTGGCTTCCAATTCAAGAAATAGGTTTTGGGTCTATAAAGTACATCGTATCAGAAATCAGGTAGAATTTTCGAGCACCTTTATAACTGGTAAATGGGCACGGGTAGCAGTTCTGCAAGGAATTTGCACCTCAGCCAGAGATACCTTGATGTTGATGATGATTATGATGATGATGATGATGATGATGATGATGATGATGCCCATGCCTACGAACCGATCTGAATACACCGAATGCAAATATGGCGGACCTCTCGGCCGGCCCGGGTATAGTTGCGCGAAAGCGAGGCTAGTCAGGCCTCAAGAGTTTTGTTTTGACTGCGCTTCTTGGCGATTGAGTCGATCGATATGGCTTGCTTCGAGTTATTGCGTGCCTGATCGCCACCAAAAAGGACATTTTACTCTAGCTGAAACTGCCTTTACTTTCCCGAGATCTTTTCACAACAAAAGTTAAGGATTCATGCCATTCTGCGCGGCGATAGGAAGCACTTTACGGCGAAAAGGCAAGTGTGCTCGCCTCACTTGCTTTAGAGAGGCCCTGCCAGGGTAAATTCCGACAAGCGACATGACCCAAAAAGTAGCGACAGAGCCTAAAATGAAATCGCGACAAGCGACAAGCGACAACCTCCTTCGTCCAAATTGCGACAGTGACCGCAAAGCCGAGAATATGCGACAAAGAACAGTGGTTTGGCTAATATATCACCAGTCTGAATGCCAAGAAGAAGTAATCTTCGTCAATTTTCCTTGCGCTTTAGAGATTGTCTCTCTTCAGGGAGTTTCAGTGGACCCTCCTGAGCGCGTCGCGTTGGCCCGTCGCGTAGTCTTCAGTTACGTGATCCCGCACAACTCCTGAGAGACCTTGGAACTAGGTTGTCCGTCAAATAGCTTAATTTTACACACACTTTACATCTCTTGTAATCACTACTTTCATATAGACCATAATGCACCTTGTTTTCCCCCTCAGAATTTTGCATAACCATTGTTTCTAAAATCTCCAGGGTATCACAGTCGTCCCAAGAGAAATCGAAAACAATGGTTATGCAAAGTTTTGGGGGGGCTAAACAAGGTGCATTATGGTCTATGTGAAAATGGCGAATACTTTGCTAGTTTTTGAACTTCTCACATCCTTGTCGACCTCTGTCGGACGGTGTCGACGGTGGAGAGACCAGGGACCAGGTTACAAACTTAACCACCGACCTTCCAGCCGCTCTCACAGAGTAGACCTCCGTTAACCGGCCTTCACGTACGATTTATCACGTTCAACATTTTGAAAAATGTTGAACGTGGATCACTTAGGGTGTGTTGACAGTGTTCCTTTAAGCGAATCCAAAAACAGATTTCTGATCCGAGATTTGCCGGATTTCGCGGTCGAAAGGAACGTGAAATCCGAAATTGGATTTGTGACCTTGGTAACCTTTCGCAAACGCGTGCAATATGCATGACAGCCTGAGCCTCTCAAGAAATGACATGTTTTCTGCTGTTTGACAAATTATGCGATTATACCGTGCAGAATTTTGTGGTCGGCAGTTCGAATAACGACGATGGAGCATAAACAGATCAAGAAAGGAGCGCGTTAAAGTTGAAAATTTACTAAAGGTTGTCGGCTCAGTTTGATCCAGTATCGTAGCTCGGTCTTTTATGTAACACGATCAACTGCCTATCGCGTCCACAAGTGAGTTTGTAGAAAGATAGGAGATATTTGTCCCTTTTACTTATTTGTGTTTTTCAGCAATCTTTAGCGACAAATGGTCAGCACATGGATATTTTAGTGTACCACTATGAACAATCTTCTAGTGTTTCGTTTTACGGCAAATGGCAGCAGTTAGGAAACTCTACGGGAATACTTCAATTGGAAATACAGCTGGATCATCTGACTAATTTCGAATCCACTGTGAATGGAACAGCGTAGATCACTGATCCGTTAATCTGGATTCGGATTCTTCGGATTTCAAATCCAATGTGAATCCTTTTTCAAAAAGGATTCACCAGATCAAAAATCCGAATTTGGATTTGCCGAAAGGAACGCGAAATCCGTTTTAAGATCGAAAATCCGTTCTTGGATTCTCCGAAAGGAACACACCCTTAATTGTGAATGGCGATGTATAGGTGTTCTATACGCGAAAGGTTAACAGAGAAGTTGCACAACTGTAATGGTTTCTTTACAACGCATCGCTATCCCCCTTTTCTAAAATTCCGACAAAGACAAAAAGTTTTCGTTCAATTTCCGACAACGACGTGAAGCATTAATAAACACTGACACGAGACGTTTTAAAATTCAGACGAGCGACATGGGAGCTCCCCCTGGCAGGACCTCTTTAGAGGAGAGGACTCACGAAAGTATTTTAGACAAGAGATGGTGCTGTTCCATGATGTTTGCATGGCGTGTTATTTATCCAACAAAAGGTAAACATTTTGGAGAACGGGAGCATCCGCTGTCGACTTTAAAATCTTTTAGTTTTCACCTATTAAAATATTGTAATAGTGACGAGTGTGAATGAAACACAACAACAACAATAGCCTGTTAAACCTACAAGCGTGGCCTGTGAAACCATGTAAGAACCAGAAGACAAGTTTTAAGAACAGTCCTTTGATAAAATTAAAGTGCACTGAAAAACTAACAAAGGAACTATCGCGAACTAAGAAAGTGGAAAGAAGGAAGAAGTTGACGAGTGTGAATGAAACACAACAACAACAATAGCCTGTTAAACCTACAAGCGTGGCCTGTGAAGCCATGGAAGAACCAGAAGACAAGTTTTAAGAACGGTCCCTTGATAAAATTAAAGTGCACTGAAAAAACTAACAGAGGAACTATCGCGAACTAAGAAAGTAAAAAGAAGGAAGAAGGTTCTGGCAGGGAAAGAGCATTCAGGTATTCGAACATTGTATTTGCCCCTGCGCGTGATCTATTTTAGCAACTTGTCGAAGGGTTTCGAGTTTTCCAAAAATTGCTACTTTTATAGCACTGCTCAAAATTCTTGAACACAGGATCGTGAAGACTGTGAAGACATTCGGCCTCGTTGTAAACAGTTCATGCACAGAAGTGAGCCCGATCGATGAGAACTCCTAAGGATTGTTAAGTCGCGACACATCCATTTGCCATGCATCTCCGCCCGCAAATAGCAAAAGCTAGACAAGGCGGGCCAAGAGGAATGTTTACCTTTCCTTGGTAAGAGAACGGTCAAAGCGAACTTGAAACAGAACCATCGTTCGGGAATTGTCCCATTCAAATAGTTTCGTGAGTCTTCTCTTCTGAAGTGAAGCGAGCACACTTTCGTTCGTTTGACTCCGTGATAGTATAGTGCTTCCATTCGCCGCGCCAAATCACTAGATTTCTTTCTTCGTCAAGAATCTTTTTTTTTCTTTTTTTCTTTTAACGTTTATTAAATACTCCACAGCGTTACAATACTAACGTTACATGGCATTGCATGATATTACATTACAATAAATTACAAATACATTACATTACATTACACTATGAACTTTAACGGTAAACTAACTATACAAAACAAGAAAAATACGTTATAAGTACAGAAGACACTAGGGTACAGAGTCTAAAGGCAGAGCCCACTTCTTATTAAATTTGTCCATTTTATTAGTTTTAACACATATGTACTTTTCTGTTTCATACTTAATTCTAACCTTGGATGAAAAGGCAGTTATGACTGGAAGAGTCTGATTTCTTCTACAACCTCATAAGTATAGTTTACCGATCATTATCAAATAATTCAGTAAAGGGCAATTTGTATATAATATATAGATTTAGCCAGGGCTAAAGAGCGAAGCTCCCATTAATAAATATATAATTTAAATCAAACAATAAACTTGTAATCCACAAATCCGTTAACTTAAGGCACATTCACGTGGCTTTTTAGAGAAAAGCTAAGTGATTTTAGAGTGAAACATCTCACATCAGGTTGACTTATATGTTCACCCAAAAAATAGCAATCATCTTCGATCACATTCAAGAGCCATAACGGCTCTTGATCACAGTAGATTAGGCCTGGAAAACAAATCAGGCTGAATCTTTTGCGTTCGATAAGTTTACTTTACAAAATCTTGCCAACAAATCTGGAAGCTTCTGGAGGTGTGTAAACCAACCTTTTATACTTTTTATACATCACATCTGAGGTGAAGCAGTACTATGAGACGCTGTATTTATCATACAGACCTCGGACAGAATGCAGTATTTCACTGTTTTTCAAAACAATTGTACTCAGTCAATATTCAGGACGATCAATCGTTGGCTTTTAGCGAACCGTTCAAAAATTTCAAAAAATCACCTATACGACCAGTCGGTTCTCGGCTTTTGACAAGCGGTCAATTGTGTGAATGAACATTAATAGAGTCGCGCTTCAACATAATAACGAATTTATTATGTTAATTTTTTTTATTTAATGGCTTTATAACGATGTGTAATCTTGAAAAGCGTTTGATACGCGCGACATTTTGAGTACTCCTGCAAGCGATGTTCATGAAAGACTGAAAACAAACGGCACAGCGATTAAAATTTCAAAAGAGACTTCTAACAATCAATAAAAGAAATGTAATTCGGTGAAACATTTCAAGAGACAACAATTTTCATTCACTAAGACAAGTATAAAAGGAGTTTGCCTTTTGGTCGAGGGTCGAGGGTAACTAGTCGAGGGTCGAGGGTAAATGGTCGAGGGTCGAGGGTAACTAGTCGAGGGTCGAGGGTAAATGGTCGAGGGTCGAAAAATCCTTCACAATTATTTCTGAATTTTTTTCAATTTAAAACCTAAAATTCCCAAATAAAGCAACCAAAGGAAAGAAGCGTGTCAGGAAGTTCAATAAATACCATAATACCATTAAACTGCTGACTGAGGCAACCTTCGCCTATCTGGTAAGTCATCGTTTTGATGTAAGTATTTTCATTGATAGTCATTACGAGCATAGAAATAGATAGGAAACGTATTTTAGTGCAGAGAGGTAACGTCAGTTACGAAAAGGGCAAGTCAGAAAGGTTATACAAACTAGCATTTTGCTTCACATTGCATGGTTCGCGTTTCATGTTTTCTTTTAGCCTTAATTGATTAAGAACTTGACAATAACCGGCCTATCATTGATTGAACGTTAACTAACTACATGATACTCGGCAAACTAGTCTGACCAGGATGCAGGGTGTGAAGTATAAGTTGAACACGGAGCCCCCGTAAGTGGACTTGAATGATAGCTAAGGAAATGAGTGAAATGTAAAATGACAAAGTGAGTAAAAGCTGAATGATGCTACTGAGCCGATGTGGGCGAATTTCAAAACGAACTGTTTCCGTACTCGTTTTACTTTTATATGAAATAAAATTTCATATTTTATATGAAATAAAATTAGTTTTAGATAGTTTAGTTTTTAGTTTAGATAGTTTATTAAAATATCGAACATGGCAGTCCGTAGACTGAATTGCGTTACAATTACTTAAAACTAAGATTAAATAAATTCCAAAATTATAAATACTAATTGAAATTATAACAAAAAAAATTTCTATAAAAATGCGAAAAACTCTCTATATATAACTAGGTACAAACTAGTCCAAAAAATTATGTACACATACTTGGAATAAAAGTGTTCTTAAAACGATTTGTATGTGTGCGGGGCATGGCATAAGCCCTGGACTGTCTTAGATTATGTCTGTGTTCTCTCTTAGGAGGTAAGAGAGGCAGAAGTTTGTGATCCGGGCATGACGTGATAGACTCGAAAAGCTTGCTACACAGGGTCACGCGTCTAGCGTGCAAGGTTACTAAATCGAACCTGACCAAACATTCTGAATACGACGCATAAGGACAAATGATGGAGAGCGCTCTCTTTTGCACTCGTTCGATGTCGTCACTAAGATACTGTGGAAGCGCATGATGGAAAACTGGCGCACAGTACTCTAAAACAGGTCTTATCACGGTGCAGTATATAAAACAATAACTTAGCAATTCCTTTGCCCCCACTTTGCGCGCTTCCGTGATTCGCAGCCCTTATGAAATTCGCACGCACTTTTACAAATTACCTTTTGTTGGCCCCTTCTCGACTAACGCTCAACACAGAATCAAGCGCTTAACTCAACGCTGTTGTAAGAACTTAGTCATCAAGTTAGTGTTTGACCCATACAAGATCAAGAACTTATTCATTGCCAAGGATGCGATCTCTAATTTATCACGATCCCTTGTTGTTTACAAATTTTCTTGCGCAGGCTGTAGCGCCTGTTACGTCGGCGTATGGAAAAGCCGGAATCCGGAATCCGGAATCCGGAACCGGAGCAGGAAACGGAAACGGAACCTGAACTTAAATTGAGACCAGGGTAAACTGTGAAGCACTAAAACCAGTTCCCGATACCCGTGTGGGAATAAAATTCAAGATGGCGTCGTCTGTTATCATTGGTTTTATAAATTTTTAGCCTAGTGATCATGATACCAAAGGTATACTCACATTCGGAAAGTGACTTGCAAAAAAAAAGGTAAGTGCATCCTACTGTTATTCTTAGCAGTCGTAAACTGTGACTGCAGCTGTAAGTCGAGCAATTTTCGACAGATCGAGACTACAACTAATCACAAGCCGATTGACTGCGAAAAACAGCCATTATTAGTATGTGATGTTTAAGACCGCTGTGTTATTCATTTCCTTCTCTTGGGCCTAAGTTACTCCTTTCTTAAAAGGGCTCCGTGTTACATCCATTGTGAGGGAAAGGCGGCAAAGGGAGGAGAAGTACTCATGTCAATCATGATCCCAAGTTGCAACGCTCACGCGTATATGAAATGCTCGAAGAAAAATTTTGCGCCGTACGCAAAAAATGCGACAGTAAAAAATATAATAACAATAAATAAATATAATGTGGGATTAATAATGTGGGTCGAGTAATAATTGTTAATGACACTCTTAAGACAGAAACGTCTCCAAGTTTTATTTCTTAGGTTCGGGTTGCGGTTCTGTTTCCGGCTCCGGTTCCGGATTCCGGATTCCGGCTTTTCCATACGCCCTGTTATGTCGGTGAGACAAACCGACATCTTGCTACACGTGTTCGTGAACATTTAACATCCGACAAGAACTCGCACATCTTTCAGCACATTCATGGGTCAGAAACATGCAGAGATTTGTGCTCAGAGAATTGCTTTTCAATCCAATAATTGTGCAGGATTTTTCGACCCTCGACCATTTGCCCTCGACCCTCGACTAGTTACCCTCGACCCTCTACCCTCGACCAAAAGGCAAACTCGTATAAAAGTGTCTCTAAAAATCCTGAGTCTTTAAGTTTATGTTTTAAGCCGGCTTCCCGGTGTTTGCTTTTTTCAAAGATGAACTCGAGGCAAGAAAATCGCTCAAAGTTTTCTTTCTACAAGCAAATTTATAACTAAATATTCTTCGGGAAGTTTTCTTTCTATTAGCGGTGAGAAAATATATCTAAAGGCTTTTTAAAGTTCTGTAAGCTTATATCAAACCTGATAATAGGTCAGATCATTGTCTCAAATCTTACAAACGTGCATAATTAACTTGCCGCATGAACTGTGCTCGACTTCATGAGGTTACATATAAAAAAACAAAAATCATATATAATAATTACTCAGGCTTACCATTCGAGATGCAGCTCCTGAAGGCTATCAAGTAAGACCAGAATCGCTTGAGACTTTAAACTCCTCTTACGTATCAAGCAAGGTGAAAAACGAAAACGGTATAATGCCATCCGAAACCGGATTTCCGACTTTGACAAGCGACGCATTTCTCAACCAAAAACCCAATGAACAAACCAGCCATGAATAACAGACGACTCTTGATAGCAGCTCTACTTCATTTTGTACATCCAGTGGAAAAAGACATTAAAAAACATCACAAGTTGACACAAAACTCTGTCAGCTTCAGCTGTCAAAGTAAACAAGTTTCAAGATGCTGCATAAATTTTCCGCATGAACTCACCTGTCAAATTTTGACCAATCAGAGCATAAAAATTGGACGTAGAGCGTGACCAACGCGTGACCATGGTAAGAAAGGGTCTTCCCCGCCTGTATTTTTAAATAACTGGCTGAATTTTCGTGTCCGAGGTAAGTTTGAAATCAAAATCTTAATAGTGCTGGGCCATAGTGACACAAAAAACCGACATATTTCATATAAATTTTTAAAAAACAAACTTGAGCCTGCGATCATTTGAAAACTAGTAACTTGTCAGCGGATAACTTCAAAAAATACTCGACCTCGATGGGTCGACACCTGAGCCCGCGATACGGTCAGGTGATACTGGTCAGCGGATACCCTGTTTTGACAGCTGTCAATTGATCACAACATTGATGTGCAATCAGTTTTCTCTTGGGCTCCCAAACTAGCTAGAAAGTGCGAGAGTAAACATTGGTATGCCTGTGGTGCGGACGGACGGTCGTACGTTCGTTCGGTGTACGGTCACGTGATAACCAAATTTTCTGGGATGGGTAGATTTACTTAGCTATGGGGCTCCGCCCACGCGCGCGCGCTTCGTGCGCGGGTGGAGCTCCGCTAATATTCCTGTAATAACGTCTTGTAAGGTCAGACAGACGAATTCTCTTGTCAATGTGTAAAAGTCTGTAATATTGAAATTCCTTCCAAAACTGCTTTCTGTGTCTGCATTCGAAAAAGATGTGGTAAAGGGATTCCGAATCCGTTTTGCATAGTGAACATTTATCATCTTGGATATAACCTACTTTGCATAACTTTTTATTAATAAATAAAATTGAATTAAGGACTTTGTATTGAAAAGCTTTTAGATAAGGTTCAAACGCTACCTCATTTGGAAGAAGGAATGCTTTTTTCAGCTGGTCTTGGGTTAGATTGAAATCTTGACACAAGTGTTTCACGCGTGTTTTGTCCAAATCCTAATAATTTCCCAAGTCTTTTTCGGGCAACGTAAAACCGTTAACCGAAAAACAGTAGTCGGTTGCAGTAAATTGACCTCGATCTTAAGGTCTGTGTTGTCGTTTCCTCCGGCTGAGATGTGAATTCCTCGAAGAAACGCCGCCCGTGCTCATTTCGTAGTCAGAAACAAACGTGCTCGGACAGATATACCTGAGCATTAGGAGAAGGTAGCTTATCATCTCAATACCTATTTCTTGAATTGCATACAAAGTACAGCTGCAAAGTTGTTGAAGATGGGTTGCAGTGCATTAAAATGCATGTAGCAGAAGTTTCAGGAACAAGTCATTCAACTTCAACTTCTTCATCTAGAGTACTGTATTTAAAAAAATAGTACGATTAGCAATCGGCTTTGTTTTGAGAATTAGCAAGCATCAAAACTACTTGTCCCGAAAATTCGAACTGTTGGCTCGTCCTACCTCAGAGCAACTCGTTTTCGAAATTTTAAAACCATTCCACAGCTGAATTTTGAAGGACTTTCTAGTTAGGGACTTCTGTTCCAACGATTTTTCTGAAATTTATTTGGTATGTTTATTATATCAACAAAAGGAGTGACCAGAAATTTTAGTAAAAAATATCTGCAAAATTTTTTACTAGACGCGATTTTTTATGAACAGTAGGCCCATTTAAGCGCAAATTTCGTTTCAAATATTTACCACCAATGAAATGATATTATTTAATATATTATTGCCGAATGACATCTGTACTTTTTTTCAAAGTTTCATAACCATCGCGCCAAAAAGTTATGGCGAAACGTTCGTCATAGCTCAATGTCCCTATATTAATATGAAAATTCAATAAGTAAACGTAGAAAACAAAGGTCTTTTATAGAAAAAAAATGCAAATTTTGAAAAAAAAACATTTGTTACAACTCGGTTGCCATGGTAACGTCAGTGTTGACGTACACGTCACGACGACTTTAAAATGTTCCCAAGAACTTTTTGGAAAAGTCGCCAAGTTTGGCGCTCTTAGCTTGAACGGTTTTAAGTTATTCATCTTCTTAGTGTGGGGGGAGGGGGGCTCGGTCTGAATAGGGTTAAAGAACCGTGCGCTGGCATCCCTATAATTTTACGGGAAAAATAAAGAAAATTAGTTCACACTGAACTGAATAGCATAATTATAGAAAGTTATTACCTTACAATACAAGCTAAAATTAGGCAAATAGACAACTGCCAGTAATGTTTCACATCCAGTAGCAGTCGGAACAGTTAAAAACTGGTACATAACATTTTGGGTGCTTTCCAAAAGTCAGAACTGGCCAGCCGGACCGTTCATTTTGAAAGTAAAATGTTAGTCTTTTTTCGAAATTTTTTGAGAAATGTGGTCGTTTTCGATAAATTTTTTGAAACAGTGTTTTAGTGAGATACAAAACGGATATTTGAAAAATGGTCACTTATGGAAGGTGGTCACTAACTAGAAGTGGTCGCTATGAGGGAGTTGATTGTATTTAGTGCCGATATTGTAAACAAACAGTCCACTTTTAGGACCTCTAATGGTAAATACTTGTTTAGTTTTCGTTTTAATTGTTTAATACTTACTCAGTGTTGTAGTTTATATCTATTGTAAACATTTGACATTTTTAGCCAAAAACAGATGAAGAGCCATCGAGGGATAGTCTGTTAATAAACCGCTTACTTGCTTACTTACTCACTCACTCACTCATTCACCCTCTTACTTACTTACTTACTTACTTACTTACTTACTTACTTCTTACTTTCTTACTTACTTACTTACTTTCTTACTTTCTTACTTGCCACCCTTGCCCTTACCCTTACTTACTTACGTACTTACTTACTTACTTTTGCATTAACACACCTTATTTGCTGCCACCTACCTGATGATTCTTCACTTCCTGTATTCACTTATCATTTACTTTCTTAATTACTTACTTCTTTGCTTTTTAAATTGCCCACCTACTTGCCGGTCTTCTTCTTGCTTTCTTATTCCTTGTTTATTTCTTACATTTTTTGCGTTCTTTTCTTTCTTTCTTTCTTTTTCTTACTTCCTTAACCTTACTTGCTTACTTGTTGCCTTGCCATTACAGTACTTACTTCCTGACATTCTGACCGACTTACTTACTTACTTACTTACTTACTTACTTACTTACTTTCTTTCTTACTTACTTACTTACTTCTTACTTTTCTTACTTACTTACTTACTTCTTACTTTCTTACTTACTTACTTCTTACTTAACTTACTTACTTCTTACTTACTTACTTACTTACTTACTTACTTACTTCTTCTTACTTACTTACTTACTTCTTACTTTCTTACTTACTTACTTACTTACTTACTTACTTATATTTTGCAGCTCCTGCTGAGATACGTGCGCGGGGTCTTGCAGCTGTTGAAGCCTACAACAAAGCCCTTTCACATGGGAAAACCTTGGTCAAGAGGCTTCCGCTAATGTTGATTGGACAAGACCGAGCAGGAAAGACCAGCCTAAAGAAATCTTTGAGAGGAATTTGTTTCGATCCGGAGGAAGACAGTACTGATGGTATAGAAGTGGATCCGTCTTTCTTCAACGTGTCTACCGAGACATGGAGGACTGGGGAACCGGATAGGGGGCAGAACTCTGATCAAGTCCCTACCTTTGATTATCAAACAGCAAGACGTATTGTAGATAGTCTAGAGAGAGAAAGGAAAGTTAGAAATGTCCAAACATTTGCAGAGGAGGGTTTAAGTATTTCTGATTATGAAAGCATTGAGGTTCCAGGGGAATTGAAAACCATCGAGCCATCAAGAGAAACGGAAAATGTTCACAAACCAAAGGATTCAGACCCCACCCACAGTATACACATCCCCAGTGTTACACCTGATCTAACAGAAGAGAAACTGGAGGAAGTTAACTCCTCAGCTTCAGGAGTTCCTGATGAGGTAGCGTCTCTTGCTGAAGCTTTACTTCAACGCAACTTTGAAGATAATGGAGAAGAAATTTATTCAACTTTCTGGGATTTTGCTGGACAGTCTGTTTACTATGTGACACATCCACTTTTCCTAACAAAGAAGGCGATATACCTCTTGGTTTATGATCTCAGCTTAAATCCATACGACAAAGCCAAGCCCGTGGTGAAGAGAGGGGTGTACAAGAAAACCTTGGAGGGTTTCAGTAGTCTCAAGACCAATTTGGATTACCTGGAGTTTTGGATGACGTCCGTGGCCTCTTTAGCTAGTACTCAGGAGGAAGATTTGACATCAGAGCTACTTCCGGAGAAGCTTCCTCCAGTTTTCTTAGTTTGCACTCACGCTGATACCCCTTACTGTGGTCGTGATCCCCAAGAACTAGCCACTGAGATATTTGGTTCTCTAAGAAGCAAACCGTATGGGTGTCATTTGTATGACGTGTTTTTTGTGGATAACACAAGTTTACGTGTTAACACGTCTGGATGCCCCGAAGTCCAGCGCTTGCGGAAGGAATTAGTCTCTGTGGCCAAAGAGCTACCCCAAACACACCACACGGTTCCAATAAAGTGGTTGAAATTTGAGAAGGTGCTTCAGGTAGAGAAAGAGGGACATCAGTGGATTTACTTGGAGACAGCAAAAAATATTGCAAACGCCTGCGGCATTGATGAAGACAAGGAAATCGAGACCATGATGAACTATTTGCATGATTTAAAAAGCTTAATCCATTTTGACGATACTGATGAACTAAATAGATTAGTAGTCTTGGATCCTCAGTGGTTAATTGATGTTTTCAAGAAGGTGATAACTGTCAAGCCGTATCATTCTAAAGAAAAGAAGAAGTTTGTCGACTTATGGTGTAGGCTTGAGAAGGAGGGAATCTTGACTGAAAAGCTTTTGGTGCATGCGTGGGACTCTTTGTTCGACAACAAGGAAACTTATCAGAATCTTATTGAAATCATGAAGAAATTTAGCTTGCTATGCCCTTGGCCGTCAGATGATTCAGACAACAAGAGCTATCTAGTGCCATCAATGCTGAGGTCACATCCACCAGAAGAGGCCCTTAGGCTGGTTGAGACTGCAAAAATTCCTCCTCTATATGTTAAATTTTCAAACGGTCAGGTCCCTCCAGATTTGTTTCCAAGGCTGGTTGTTCAGTTCTTTCAGTGGGTCAAAGACAAATGTCAGATCTTACAGAAGCCTCAGTTGTTCCATGAGTTTGCCAGATTTTTCATATCTGCAGATGGCGACTCGGTAATTCTTATTTGCCGCTCTTCTGTCATTGAAGTCGTAGTTCACGGTGATAATCACAGTTGTGAGTTGGTAGAACATTTCTCTGCAAGTGTGAAATTATCAGCGGATGTCCAGTTTGAGAACACTGAAGTAATCTGTGCTAGTGCTGTACATAGGCAGCTGTGCTCAATACTGGAGTGCATGCACAGAGAGTCTCGCTGGCAAAGAGATATGAGATACGAAATGAGTTTTTTATGTCCTGTCTGTTCTCATGGTGGTGTTGTTGGTCACTGTAGAAATCATGATGCTCAACAATGCAAAGAGGAGGAGTGTCTCCACTTCCTGGCTGAGTCAGAGGTGCGCAAGAACAGAATCATTTGCACCAATTCTCCGTTTGCTCCAAATCCTAAAGTGCAGGTTAAGCAGTTTACACCTTGGTTTCTCTCTCAAATTGAACAGGTAAACACTTATTGTTTTTTAACAGATCCCACTGAGTAAGGTCTTCAACAAACAATGCTCCTGGAGTGAATTTATCTTTGCATATTGTTTCCAAATTATGACTCATGTATTGAAGATTTCCTGTATGTTTCTACCTACTCCTTCACGCTCCGTTGCATCTTGTAGGTACCAATAGGGCCGTTTTAGTTCGCTTAAGTTCAGATTTTCGCTCAAAATTGCATTCTGTTCACTCATGAATATTAATATCATTTCCCTGCTCTACACCAAAATATTATGAAAGGGAATTACAGTTTGCCTTCTTTGCAGGCTGGGATTAACGTCTTTACAACTAGACGTCATGTTTTAACTGAAAAAAATACCCCGTAGTGTTTGTAAGCACAGATGATAAAGTGCGTACAGTATTCATGAAAGTATTTATGATACGACAGGTCTTTGGTTTGCGTCTTCAACCCAAAGGTTTCTTCACTTGGGACGCAGATGTTCAAAAATGGACTACTTCTATACTAAAGGGAATTCATTCTCGCTAAGGCCATTGGCATAGAAGACCCATATAACAACTAGAACTATATAAGTGATACTAGTTACATTTTGTCTTCTGCAGGAAGCTCGTCCTTCAAAGTTAGGTGGGCAAACAAGACACGGAGCAGTGGAAAGTGATGCAGGAAATTCTACGAGAGAGTTAAAAATTACTCTTTTGGCGAGTGAGTGGAATTCATCCATGGGTGGCTTGTCAACGATAAATACAAAGCTTGCAGTTCTACTAGCTAAACAGCCTCAAGTCAGTGTTACCTTCCTTGTTCCACAAAATGCTTGTTCTGAGAAAGAGAGAAAAAGAGCGTCACAACTAAAGGTAACCATTCGTGAAGCAGAGGAGCGTCCAGGCTTTGATGATCCTCTTGACTGGTTGTGCCTTCCACCAGAAGACCTTTCGATCGACATCGTGGTTGGCCATGGTGCAAAGCTGGGCAAGCAAGCCCAATTCATTACCAAGTCTCATCGTTGTAAGTGGGTGCAGATGGTGCACACTGTACCTGAAGAACTTGGAATGTACAAGGATTATCCTGAAGCAATTGGCAAAGGTGAAATGAAGAATAGAACCGAGGTACAATTGTGTAAACTGGCACATCTTGTTGTTGCTGTTGGGGCCAAATTAAAAGAGGCTTATTCCTCCTACCTTCGCTCTAGTGAGAAATACCAACATATCATTCAGCTAACTCCAGGTACATTCGATGAATTCAAAACAATAAAGCAAGCTTCCCAGGACAGCGAGAAGTTTAAGGTTTTAACCTTTGGTCGTGGTGACCTTGAAGACTTCAAACTCAAGGGATACGACATTGTTCCTAAAGCATTAGCTGAACTAAGGGACAGCTCCTATTGTCTGGTTTTTGTGGGGACACCCAAAGGAAAACAGGAGGAAGTCGTGAAACGCTTGCTCCAGACTGGAATCTCTGAAGATCAGCTTCTTGTAAGGGCATTTATACAGGACAGAGAACAGTTAAAAGATCTCCTTTGTGAGGTTGATCTTGCCATCATGCCTTCCAGAACAGAGGGTTTTGGATTATCAGCCCTTGAGGCGTTGTCTGCTGGTCTTCCTATTCTGGTGAGTGGCAATTCAGGTTTCGGACATGCACTGCGTGAGCTTCCACTAGGGCAGTCGTTTGTTGTTGAATCCAAAGACCCCAGGGAATGGGCGAAGGCAATAGCTTCTGTCCGTGGGAAAGGAAGAGAACAACGTCTTAAAGAAATCCAATGCTTGCGAAGAAGCTATGAAGAAAAGTACAGTTGGGAAAACCAGTGTGGATCTCTTGTCGAAAGACTGTGGAGTATGGCATACGGTGAGATTTTCATAAATTATTGACCTCACATACATTTTAAAAAGAAATGGACGCACGTTTCAACACCCGGAGTAGTCAATCGATAAAAATCGGTATCGATTTGAAAATCGATAAATCAATAAAAATCGGTACATCTGATTTGATTGATATCGATTGTATCGATCAATCCGAGTAGAAATCGATGACACACTCGTTTCGTTTATCGATTTGTCTTGATTTTTACCGATTTCATCGATTCGTATCGGAAGAAACATCTGTTCATCTATCTGTTCATCAAAAAATTGAACTGACTTCATGCAAACAGTAAATTTATTGACAATTGAGTGGCAATTGAGAGTCAAAGGATCAAACATTTATCACAATATTGTTTATAAAACATCATCTCTTATAAAGAAATTTTTTAAAAAATCTTATCTTTTCTTTAAAACCAGGTTTAAAATCTTCTTTTGTTGGCTGATATTGGCCAGGTCTGTGGGCGCCCAGTTTTTTAGGATTTAGATCTACCACCCTTTCAAGTCTTTCAAAATAACTTCGGTGTAGATCCGGGTACAGTTACATCCCATAGGACTGGGAATAGTTAATAGATAAAAATCGAAATTGATAAAAATCGTTAGCAATCAAGTGATTTTTAGCGATTCATATCGGAAAACAGTGAAAATCTATCGAGGAAAATCTTTTCGCCTGAATCCAGACTCGAAAAAATGTCTGAAATTCAGGCTAGGAAATCTTTATCTAAAGATGCATTTCTCGTGATACTTGCCTGCGAGAACTGAATGTAATTAAACCGAACCGTTTTTGTTATTATGTACTAAATAAAGGGAGAAAATTGTGTGTGTAATAGTTTTCCACTTTTCTCATTTTGATGTTTGCTGATCAGTTGTTACTCGTGGATGTGTTTTCTTAGCTGTACTATTTAACTCATGCCAAAGAGCAAAAACGGCGGACTTCGTTATAAATCGTTAAAACCATAAAAAATCGATAATATCGATTTAACACAGCTGTGCAGTTTATCGATTTTCACCGATTTCCGTTATCAATCAAAAAAATCACTTCATTGCCACCGATTTTTATCGATACCGATTTCTATCGATTGACTACTACGGAAATTATAAAACCAAACCGTTTTTGTTATTATGAACAAAACGAAGAGTTTTAGAGGGAAACTTGTGTGTGTGATAGTTTCTACTTTCTCATTTTCATGTTTGTTGATCAGTTGTTACTCATGGATGTGGTTTCTCAGCTGTACTATCTAACTCATGCCAGAAAACAACAATTGCGGTCTTCCGCTATAAATCGTTAAAACCTTGAAAAATCGAGAATATCGATTTGTCACAGCTATTCAGTTTATCGATTTTCACCGATTTCCGTTATCAATCGATAAAAATTACTTGATTGCTACTGATTTTTATCGATACCGATTTTTATCGATTGACTACTCCAGGTTAAACAGCGTCGGGATATTTTTTCCAGGTGTACAGTCGTGCACGGTCTTTTCAAACATGCTATTTTAGGGTTAAGAATGGAGGAGTTAAAGTCATGGTTAAGATTCATCTTGACTTAAAAAACCTCGTTCTGAAATATATGTAAGAAACACAAAACTTGAGCAAACATGGCCTTGGCCTGGCTCATATCAGACATGTCTCTAATAAAATGTTACTTCCTTCATTTTCCTTTGGCATAGCCTTTGGTAAAGCCAAACAAGGTGGTTAGGGTTGCAGGATAATAATAACAGAGGTGAATTATTGTTCATCAAATCTGTCTGTTATGAAGGATGTCAAATATAAAAACTACCATTTTGGTAAAATTTGAGACTGCTAACCGTAACCTTGTCGCTGCAGTTTTGATGGTTCCTTGTGTTTACTCTTCAGTAGTCCCGTTTGGACGTAGTACCAACTGAAGGTTAAAGCCCACTCCTGGATATGTTCATGAAAGAAAGCGTGCATATCACCCAGTAAAGTTTCCCCTTAAGTTCTTCCGGATTTTTGACCAACTTTTTGCTTCCAAGCTCTTGATATTTTAATGCGAATGTAATTGTTTTCGTTACAGTCAAACTGAGCTTGCGCACATGTCACATGAAATGACAATGTAAAATTTCTTGTGCTCTTTTTTTTCTTTTACAGCTAATAACTAAGATTCACTTCCTGTGGAGTACAACTAGGAATGGTGGCATAGTGAACTACTGTCTCATGACAATTTATCGGAAGTCTTGGTCCATTCACTATTATAACGGGACAGTGCATTTTTCCACTTTTGTTTTCTCCGACAACGCGGTTCTAATTCCACAAAATTAAAGTCAGCTATTCTCAGAAACTGCCCTTGGAGTTCTAAATGGCGACCATTTGTTGCCAAAATAAAAATTAGTTAATATGAGATTTCTTACCCTTGTTTAATAAGGAATTGCCGCCGGACACGGTTGAAATAGAGACGACCGATATGAGGATCGTCTTTTCTGGTCTCGTCTTAACCCCTTTTGTTTAACCGCGTTGTTTTAAGAACGTTCTTGCTGTGATAAGAGCTCGACGGATCTTAATGAAAAAGGGGAACTGCAAGCGGTCTACTTTTTCAATAGGGTATCATTTTCCTAGGATGATTCAAGCGTCATGTGTCTTAGACATTTATATATAATTAGCGTGGTTTTCTAAATAAATACTAAGTAAGCGGTACCTGAGTTCTGTTAGTGTGATCTTAGTTAGATAACAAGTTGGAGCCGTATATATCTGAGCTTATCTGGAATGATAAATAAGAAATTAATTGCTGATGAAAAAATAAATGAGTGGTATACTACATTTCGTAGAAGCGCTTTTGCTCTAATAAGGGCCCTTACCCGAATAAGGGACCCCTCCCTAAGCAAAAATAAAAACCAAGCGCCTTCTTTGAAAAAACGACCCCTTCCCCTTCCTCTCACTTTCTTAAATAGTCAGGATATCACATTGAAAGTCCACCATCGGTTTAAATAATAACCCTTATTTTTCGAAGTGGGGTACGTTTATTAAAGGAGATACGGCACTGTTGTCTTCGTTAGGGTATATACCCTTACTGTGAAAGTATCCCTCACCTTTGATTGACTGAGCTTTAGAAGTAGCAGTTCAGTTTGAAAGCATACCAGCAAGTGCCCATTTTTTGTTTTCGTGCCTCTTAGTGATGACATCATTGTTTCTCAATGTGACGTGAGATTTTCTGCCTATAAGCGCGTGCGGGAACACGGCAAAACTGGATACTTCGGGAAAAAAACTAACTCGGAGCGACTACTCTCAAATAGAGAACCAGGCTAGTCACAGCCTTGGTACACAGGATCTCAGCAAATACTCCAAACTTCTTCCAGCTTAAAATCTTTAATCTTGCTCACACAAGAACTAAAACATAACCAACTGAATCGTCACAGGGAATTTGCTTATGTAGAGAATTGCACACTTTTCACTAACGTTTACAGTACATCTGCATGGCACGCAACCAAGTGTACAAACAGTACTGAGTTTAACCAAAATCCATTACGTGGTGTCTAATTCTAACAAAAGATCATTTACGAAAATGTCTTGTTCAAAGAGCTTTTTTTTTATATAGAAAACGGGCTTATTGTTAGCCCTTATCTCATTGTTATTGCACAAAATATATTGCCATTCCTTTCTACTATCGAAAACACGAAACTCAGACCACTAACTCGGAATGGATCTCTTTAATGTCATAAGAGGCCCCCAAAACGTTACAACGAAAAACGTAAGTAGCTTCGCCAAGCACCATTATGGCACTGGAAGATCTTTTCAGCCAGGCTAGTCGTAAAGATTTAGTCATACTTTCCAGATCGATCATTTTTAAACCACCGTTTTCTTATTCATTAATTGTGGAAAGTCTTGTCACTTTCTCGGTACCCTGCGAGCAGAGGCTACATTTTCGCGGTATGAGCTGGCGTGCGAAAAGTAGCCTCTGCCGACAACCGTTCAAATCCGTCCAGAAATCTGGACGAATAAATTAAAAAAACGGGTTTTTTCTTGTTCTTGACCGGTTTAGAGCATTGCGTGAGTCTTGCGTCAGCGAATGAACGCTGACCATTACTGCGCCTTCATGCATTCCTTCGCGCCAAATTCTCGCATACGAACGCGGATCAACGTAGCTCGAACGTAGCAACAGGAAAAGTTCAAAACAACTTCAAACATCCCTGTTTATGTGTTTAAAAGAGCGTCGTCAACAACTTGAATAAGCTCTGTATTTTAAAGCTGTCGGAATACCAAAACAAGCTGCTGCCGGTGCTTCTTACGGGACCGTGTAAAGATCGTTAATTTAACATTATGGTAGTTCTTGTTTGCCAGGAAAAGAAAATGGATACTGCGGTGATTTTTGTTGTGTCGCCTCTCAATGCAAGGCTAAATGCACTGTTTTAAGACACAAATGGGAACCGGAATGTTCAAAAGAATCATCGATCAGTTTTCTTTTCGTGGAAAAAGTAGAAAAAAAGCTTTTGGCTGAACACTGATTCGCCCTCAAGGACTTCAACCTGGTTGGTTTCTTCACGGTGGAAAGCTTCTCCTGTTCTGAAAAGAAACCAAGGCGGCAAAGTTTTTAAAGAATTTTCAGGTACAACTTGCACATCAATGGTCAAGGAAGTTCCGTTTTTAAATGGAAATTTAAGTATTTATAGTTGTTTCATAGATGTTTCATACGACTTGAGACGGATTTTGGCGTTGACATTTGATGTCTTCGGCAGCTTTTACTTGCGTGAAATGATCCACAATCCAGTTAGTATTACGCGAATTGCTTTTAAGGATAAAATTATGGGTTGTCGAATAAAATTTTTCGATAAATAATTTTTTTGACTACTGTTTTGTCTATGTTCATTCATAACATTAGTTTAAAACGCAATCGTGAGACTACAGCATCCAATTTATTTCAAACATCACTTCTGCGTAGCGTTGTCGGCGAATTTCATTTTTCACTTTGAGCACAACTATAAATAGGTAATATATAGATTTAGCCAGGGCTAAAAGCGAGGTTCCCATTAGTAAATTTATAATTTAAATTAAACAATAAACTTGTATTCTAATTCCACAATTCAGTTAACTTTAGAGCACATTTATGTGACTTTTGAGGGAAAGGCTACCTGATTTTAGAGAAAAATAATTTGCAAACAGCCCAAGAGTGAACCAAATCTTACATCGAGTTGATAGCCTCATATGTACACTCAAAAACTGGTAATCATCTTTTATCACATTTAAGAGCCGTAATGGCTATTGATCACCGTAGATCAATTAGGCTTAGAAAAAAAATCTGGCCAAGGTTTTGGCGTTCGACAAGTTTACTTTGCAAAATCTTGCCAACAAATCTGGGTGCGTGTAAACCAACCTTTTATACCATGGACAGAAAGCAGTATTTCACAATACAAATTGCTCTCATTCAATATTCATAAACTGTTAAAAAAATTTTCCAAAATCACCTATACGGCCATCCGGTTCTCACTTTTGTAGTGCGAGCTGTAGCGAGTGTTTGAATGAACATTAACAGAGTTACGCTCCAAGATAATAAAGAATTTATCATGTTTATTTTTTATTTGATGGCTTAACGCGCGGCATTTTGAGAACTCCTGCAAGCGATGTTCACTGAACGACTGAAAACAATCGGCATAGCGATTAAAATTGCAAGAGAGACTACCAACAATCAATAAAAGAAATATAATTCGGTGAAACATAAACAGAGACAACAATTTTCATTCAGGAAGACAAGTATTAAAGTGTCCCTAAATATCCTGAGTCTTCAAGCTTCAAGCTTAAGTTTGCTGAAGTTTATGTTTTAAGCCAGCTTCCCGGTGTTTGTTTTTTCAAAGACGAACTCGAGGCAAGAAAATCGCTCAAAAGCTTTCTTTTCCGGCTAGAATTATAACTAAAGATTCTTTGGAACATTTTCTTTCTATTTGCGGTGAGAAACTGTCTAAAGGCTTTTTAAAGTTCTGTAAGATTATATCAAACCAGATACTCGGTGAGATCGTTGTCTCAAAACTTACAAACGCGCATAAACTAAATTCCCGCATAAACTACGCTCCACTTCATTAAATTAGATACAAAAAACAAACATGAAATACAATAATTTCTCTGGCTTACCATTCGAGATGCAGCTCCTGAAAGTTATCAGGTAAAGCCAGTATCGCTTCAGACTTTGCAATCCTCTTACGCATCAAGCAAGGTGAAAACGAAAACGATGCCATCCGAAATCGGATTTCCGACTTTGACAAGCGACGTTTTCTCAACCAAAAACCCAATAAATAAACTAGCCATGAGTAACAGAAGACTCCTGATAGTAGCTGAATTTCATTTTGTACATCCAGTGGAAAAAGACAGTTAAAAACATCACAAGTTGACACAAAACTCTGTCAGCTTCAGCTGTTAAAGTAAACAAGATTCAAGATGCTGCTTAAATTTTGCGCATGAACTCACATGTCAAATTTTGACCAATCAGAGCATAAAAATTGGACGTAGAGCGTGACCAACGCGTGACCATTGTGAGAAAAAACAAAAGCAACTGTCTTCCCTGCCTGTAACAGCTGGCTGAATTTTCACGTCCGAGGTCAGTTTGCAATCAAAATTTTAATTGTGCAGCACATAAACACAACATATTTCATATGAATTAAGAAAAAAAAACTTGAGCCTGCGATCACTTGAAAACTAGTTTACTTGTCAGCGGATAACTTCAAAAAATACTTGACCTCGACGGGTCGACACCTGAGCCCGCGATACGGTCAAGTAATACTGGTCAGCGGGTACTCTGTTTTGACAGCTGTCAATTGATCAAAACATTGATGTCCAATATGTGTGCATTATCAGTTTTCCTGTGCTCCCAAACTAGTAAAAGTATGAGATTGAACGTTGTTCGCGATCTAGTAAAACAGTTAACTGGTCAGCGGACAGCTTCCAAATAAATCACGTCACCTCGATGAGTTGGCACATGAGCCCGCGATATGGTCATGGGATACTGGTCAGTGGCTATCCTGTTTGGACAGCTGTCAATTGACCATATTGTTAATGTCCTATATTAAAGATGTGGGCTTGCCAAGACACGCCTGAGACACCCCTCCCTTCCTTTTGATAGTCTCCCCTACCCCACCCATACAATCTGTAGACGCGTACGTACGTACGTACGTACGTACAACCAAACGAAAAGAGGTTGACCATATTCCATGGGTATGGGGCTCTGTCCCACGCGCGCTTGGCGCGCGCGGGAGCCCCGCTAATATTAAAGCCGGAAAAATGTGCTTCTCGCAAAACAGATAGAACTTACTACAGTTGATAGCATAAAAATACTTTCCTAAAAAAGACGATCCGTGGAAATTTTGCGGCTAAAGTAGTTAAAACCAGAAGGGGCGAAGCAGAAAAACAAAACAGAAGCTCGAGGAGAGTAGTTCGCAGGTAGTTTTCCCGCGAAACTCACGCAGATTTGACGAACCAGTTGCTTGCGAATCGCGTGACGAATTTTGCGCATGCACGATAGAAAATTGAACGGTTGTCGGCAGAGGCTACTTTTCGCAGGCCAGCTCATACCGCGAAAATGTAGCCTCTGCTCGCAGGGTACCGAGAAAGTGACAAGACTTTCCACAATTAATGAATAAGAAAACGGTGGTTTAAAAATGATCGATCTGGAAAGTATGACTAAATCTTTACGACTAGCCTAGCTGAAAAGATCTTCCAGTGCCATAATGGTGCTTGGCGAAGCTACTTACGTTTTTCGTT